CAACCCCGGGCTCTGCCTCCCCAAAACACCCCCTGCTCCCTCACATCCCTCCCTGACGCTCCCGCATCGACCCTGTGGGACACGCCTGAGAAAAGGGGGGCAAAACAGGGGGTTTGGGTGTTGGGGGGCGATGAATTCGCAACGTTTGGAGTCGAGGGGCTCCGGGGTTGTGCCTTGAGGGGGGGGAATGACCTTGTGCGGATCATTCCCCCCCCCCAAAAAGCTCCTTTCCCCACCTGCCCGCCGGTGCCGCCGTAGGTGATGGATGGGGGCTAATAATGGCAGCGGTGGCGTCAGCTGTCCCCTGTCCCCCAGCACATTGTCCCGCAGCTGCCGGAGCTGGGCCTGGAGCAGGACAAGCCCCGCTGGAACGGGGAGGGCAGGGGGGGGACACAAGGAATTTTTAACTTTCCAACAGCCGGCAGTGGCAGCTCCTGGCGTGGGGGGGGTTGTTAACGTGAGATGAGTGCGAGAGGTCTCAGCCCCCTGGGGGAGGTGGCGATGAGTGGGCTCGCTGGGGAGGGGGCAGAGGCAAGTCATGGCCTGCCCGGCACATGCCACTGCCTGGGGGGGGCTACCAATAGCCCTTGCCCCCCATCACGCATGGTTTGTCCCCCAGGCCTGCCAGGAGGAGAAGGAAGGGTCGGTGCTGGGTCCCTGGAGCCTTGTGGGGGGGACAGCGGGGGCCAAGTGCAGCCCCTTCCCCACCACAACTGGGGTCCACCAGCCCTGGGGTGTCCCCCCCCCATTACCATGGGTGCTTCACACAGAGCATGCAGTTTTTGGGGGGGTGCATGGATGTCCCTGGGGAGCAGATGGGCTTGGGGGGGGGCACATGGGTCATGGAGGCTTTGGGGTTTCCAGGGGGGGAGAAGCTGGAGGTTTAGGGGGGCAGCCTTGTCCTGAGAGCCCCATTTGGGGAGGGGGGCACAGCTGCCCCTGTATGTCCCCCCCTCACCCACTTCCCAAGCCATACAGCAGCCTGGGGGGCTCTGTGTTCCCCCCATCTCATTTTGGGGTGTCCCCCCCCTTCAGCAAGCAAGTCTGGGTGTGCAAGCTGCAGTGAGCACCGCTGTGCCCCCCCCAAGTTTGAGGAGGGGGGGATCCTCATCACCCTGGGTCATGGAGGCTTTGGGGTTTCCAGGGGGGGAGAAGCTGGAGGTTTAGGGGGGCAGCCTTGTCCTGAGAGCCCCATTTGGGGAGGGGGGCACAGCTGCCCCTGTATGTCCCCCCCTCACCCACTTCCCAAGCCATACAGCAGCCTGGGGGGCTCTGTGTTCCCCCCATCTCATTTTGGGGTGTCCCCCCCCTTCAGCAAGCAAGTCTGGGTGTGCAAGCTGCAGTGAGCACCGCTGTGCCCCCCCCAAGTTTGAGGAGGGGGGGATCCTCATCACCCCCCACTTTCACCCCCTGCCGTTTTGGGGGGTACCCTACCTGGGGAGGGAGCGGCAGCGGGAAGAGAGAGATGCAGTAATTGCGTTACGCTCCCACGCAGCTGCCTGGGAATGGTGCACTCACCCTCCGCCCCCGGGCAGGCTCCCTGCTGGCAGGAGCCCCCCCCCCCCCCCCCCCCACCCCCGGCGT